TCCTTCTTAAACCCCCCCCCCCCAATTTACATCTACTTTCTTCTTACACGCAAGGCTGTGTGGAGCATACGGTAGGTTTGCCAGTAAACCAAAAAGGGGGGTGGTGGTGGATACGTTGTGGTTTCCACTGGAGAACCTGTTACTGACGGACCATTTCCGAGGTTGTAGTCTCTCTGTAGGGTGGGAAAGGGGGATTCACTTCGAAGCAGACCTTCCCGGGGGGAGGGGGTATATTGCATGCAGCCTATAGAGCATTTCCGTGGCCAGCCCCTTTTACCCAATAACAACCCACATTATTTTACAAAGATAACCCAACCCTTGGGCTTTGTTTGGTGTGGTGGTTAAGTAAAAGGTAAAGGTTTCCCTTGCTCGAAAGCCAGTCGAATCCGACTCTAGGGTTGCAGTGCTCATCTCCGTTTCAAAGCCGAAGAGCCAGCGCTGTCTGAAGACGTTTCCGTGGTCATGTGGCCGGCATTGCTAAACGCCAAGGCGTATGGAACGCTGTTACCTTCCCACTGAAGTGGTACCTATTTATCTACTTGCAATTTCTTGCTTTCGAACTGCTAGGTTGGTTAAGTGAGCGGACTCTAATCTGGGAGAACCGGGTTTGATTCCCCACTCCTCCACTTGCACCTGCTGGATGACCTTGGGCAAGCCATAGCTCTGATAGGAGCTGTCCTTGAAAAAGAGCAGTTTCTGTCAAGAGCTCTCTCAGCCCCGCCTACCTCACAGGGTGTCTGTTGTGGGGAGGGGAAGGGAAAAGGAGTTCTGCAACACCTTTGGGTGGTGAAGGGCGGGGTATAAATCCAATCTCCTTCTTGTACCTTCAAACAGGTGTAAAGAGAAAGTAACACCTCTTTCAGACAACCATTTCTAGAGCATGGATGGCCAAACTGTGGTGAGAGTGTCCCACATGGTACATGTGTAGGCATTTGTGATACTCCTAGACAGGAACAGGAGGACTATTGGCCATGGCTATGGCACAGGACCAGTTCCCTCATCATAGTTGAATTTGCATTGATACATGTGCCCCAAATAGCTGGCTATCCAACGCTCCCTTTTAGCTGTGGAGTCTTGTGAGCAAAAATTCTACTTTGTGAGCTACTGGCATGCTACTGGCATTGTCAGTGAGTGATTTGGCTACTGCGTAAATTAGTTTGCTCTGGAGCCATTCTTCCTAAGACAAAAATGTGTGAGCCAGAGGCTAAATAAACTGTGAGCTAGCTCACACCAACTCACCTTAGAGGGTACACGGGCTATGACTATTTTAGAAACCTGCCAGGAAGGACATCCTATGTTTGACTTTTCTCTGGAAATGCCACGTTAATGACTCTTCAGAAATTACCATTCCTTGCATTTTGACATGGATGTAATTCCCAGGAATGCAGTTGTGTCTTTTCCCAGGTGATCATATACGCTACAACCAGTGTTCCCTCTAAGCTGAGTTAGTGTGAGCTAGCTCACAGTTTTTTAGCTTCCAGCTCACACATTTTTGTCTTAGCTCAGAAAGGATGGCTCCAGAGCAAACTAGTTGATGCAGTAGCCAAATTGCTCACTCACAACTTTAATGCCAGTAGCTCACAAAGTAGAATTTTTCTCACAAGACTCCACAGCTTAAAGGGAACATTGGCTAAAACCATTTTTGTTATCTTCATCAAGATAACAAGCATTAAGAAATGCTGAGGCCCTAAACTATGTCATGTTTAAGTGGTCCCATACTATTACCAAAATAAATAGATCATTTAGCAAGTTTTTTAAATTTACAGGCCCTTCATAATCTGAGGTTCAAAACTCTAGCATAAGAACATAAGGAGAGCCCTGCTGGATCACACCAGTGGTCCATCTAGTCCTGTATCCTGTCTCACACAGTGGCCAACCAGTTCCTCTGGAGGGCCAACAACAGGGCATAGAGGCTGAGGCCTTCCCCTGATTTACTTAGCTTGTGCATAAATGCACAACAGAAGGTAAGATAATTATGAGCAGAAATATACCAGCCAGATGTTAGGGGAATTTATTTATTTTTACAGTAAAGAGTAGTTCAGCAGTGGAATCAACTGCCCAGGGAGGTGGTGAGCTCTCCTCACTGGCAGTCTTCAAGCAGCAGCTGGAAGAACACTTGTCAGGAATAGTTTCGGCTGGTCCTGTATTGAGCCAGGGGGTTGGACTAGATGGCCTGTATGGCCTCTTCCAACTTTATGATTCTGTCCTTCTAAATCCATCTGTGGTTGTCATTGCCAGCCTGTTTGGGATGGGGTTGTACTCCTTAGGATTTTGGTGTGCAGCTTGGAATTGCTCCTGAATGCTTATTTGGCAGCTGCAGCTAGGGCATTTTTGCTCAGTTTTATGTTGGTGCTCCAGCTGGACTCTTTCTGATCTGGCTGCTATGCTTGTCTTGGTTGGTTCCATGTTAGACAAGTGAAACCTGCTTTAGATAAGGCTGCCTCTGAACAGTGTTCAAAAATGGTAGCTGCAAGAGTACAGATGGAGGCCAATTTATCATCATATAACTTGGATATTGTATCATCTTCACGGGCTCCTGATTGTCAATAGCGTGAGGGCTCCTAGAGTCCTGGCCCCACTGCTGGACATCCCGATATCACCTGGTATTTTTGGCCACTGAGTGACAGAGTTTTGGACTGGATGGGCCGTTGGCCTGATCCAACATTGGCTTCTCTTATGTTCTTATGTTTATGAGCCCAATTCAAAGCACAATCCAAACCTTTAAAGCCCTAAATGGCTTTGGACCAGGATATGTAATGTTAAGTTGGTTACTTAACAAAGAGTCAGAGAGTGATTTCAGCAAAAGATCAGCTTTATTCAGCAACTCGTAACTCAACTCCAAACAGATCAAACATGAATAGCCAGAACAGCTTTAGCATTGAAGCTGTTCCACTTTTAAACTCTCCCGGCTAATGTAGCCACGCCTACTATACAAATATCAACCTATGAGGTTGCAGGGATAAAGTCTAATCACAGTAGTTCCCGCTCTTGGAACTGGTTGTTGGTGATTGGTCGGCTCTTCCTGGGCTACCAATAACATTTGAGGGATTAGGATCCTAGCCCAGGATGAAAGCTTCACATGGTGTTTCAATGACTGTGTTTCATACATACATTGGGTCAGATTGAATACACCACATGTAAAGCACCATTTTCTTCCATTTTTAAAAGAAGCCCTGTCTGGTCCATCACAGTCTAATTTTTTTTTTACTATAAGCAACTCTTCATAGTAGCAGTAGTCTTCTGGTATATTGTGCTGGCTGTATGTCTATAAAATCTGTTTCTAAACTATAACATCTATTTATAAATGTGGATTTAAATTGTAAGTGCCTCAAGCAGGACTCTGAAGAGGTGGTGGCATAGAAATAGAAATATCCTGTTAATTAATTAATGTATTGTGCAGAATTTGGCAATATGTGCTTTGCCCATTGTGCCATGTATAACCAGAGACAAGGAAGGTGTTGTGAGAGGAGGAGAGGGACTACCCTTTGCATAAAGCTGCTGCCAGAAACTGTATCCCCATGTTGAATTTCCCCACTAACAGGATTATTTTTTTCCATGGCCTATAATGTTATCCGTTTTTGTATTACCCAGTTCCTGCCAGCAGCAACCGACAATATAGATCAGGAATAGGGCAAAATTAGAACATCATCAAGACACAGGGTGAGTGATGACTACATGAGGAAAACTATACGGGATCCCGCTTTAAGCAGCAGCTCCATGTTGAGCATAATGGGTGGTTAGAGTCGCCAACTGCCTGGAGACAAAAATGGTTTAATGGGATGTTATTTACCTCCATGCCATGAAAAGCTTTGGCTGCCTATGTCTCCGTGTTAAGCTTCTATTAAAGGTACAGGACATTTTACTCCAGCCCTGTTGGCAATCCTACTGGTTGTTCCACCCAAGACAATTTGATAGGTTTTTTTGCTCTTCTCCTCCTTTCTTTTGCAACAAGGTTTGTCTTGTTCCTTTTTGGTAATCAATGTAATCTTTGACATTGTGAAGGAGACATCTGTGACAGAGCCCAACTGACGAGGTTTTGTGAATAGAGCAGACAGTGTATTGCTTAATATTCTCTGGTGAGCCTCAAGATGTGTTTACATTTAGATAACTCTGCTTACTTCAGTTGGACCTGTAATCCCTCTTAGCCCTGGCTGTGTTCTGCATTTGTCTTCATTAAATAAACAAGTCATCCTAAAATTATTTGGAGCAAAGAACTGAAATGCTGTGTCTGTCACCCACCTTTTAATATTTAACAATTGAATAAGTTGGAAAGATAACTTTGGAGATTGCCAGAGAAGACTAGTTTACCAGCTTATGAAAAAATAAGGTCATCTTCTCTTTCCCCGAGCAATAAAGTTGGAGAAGGAAGATTCTCTGTGTGCGCATTTATTTAGTCATGTTTCCTAGACATAAATATAATTAGGCTGAACTATGATCCATTCCTACATTCCTACAACAGAAATGTATAATGTTGCCTCAGTGAGCATTCTTGGCATTTCTTAAGAGTAATCCAACTTTGCTGTTAGGATTTCTAAGATAAACCTGGATGTGTACTAATGTGTCAGACAGTGGGTTGGCAAGCAAGTTTTAGTCCGTTTCTAGAAGATCGAAAGAGGTCCCACCCAAAAGAAGATGCGAAAGTCACTATATCTAAATCCAGATACCTCTTTTACCGACCTATTGACTGAACTGTAGTTAAGAGTGAGACTCCATCTGTGCTTTTAATAGCAATCGCTTTCTTGGAATTCCTGATCAATTCATGCCACGACATCATGTCATCAACTGCAATTATTTGAACTTTCCTGAGTTTACACAACGGGTATGTTTGTGCATGTGAGAATTTCCATAACTCTTGCTATATGTTTTGTATTTGATAACAGGGATTGGCTACTTTGATGCCCAGAAAGCTGCATTTCTCCACAAGAGGATGGAAGTGGTAAATGCTGCTTCTTCTGATTTCAATAACACCAAAGGCTCTTTCAAGAAACTATCGTCCCTTCTTTTGGACAGCCTGGTGGAAGAGCCTAAGAGAAGAACTGATGTCCCTAATTACCTCCTAGAATCCAGTAAGTGATTAAGTGACTTGGGGAAAGGAGCTGTTGCTTGTAGGCTTTTGAAGGGCTTAACTGTGCTCCAAATAAAATGGTTTAAGCTCTTCAAAAGCCTATAATCTACAGATGATCCTAGTCGCAGCTGAGCATGGTAACACATCTCTGTGCATGTTCTTTAAAGAACCATGTACTGCTGGAAAACTGTCCAGTATCTTTATCCTGTCTCTGTCTGTCTGTCTCATTTTTGCCCACCCTTCCTTCAAGAAGCTCATGGAGGCATAGTAGTTCTCTCCCCCTTCCGCTTTATTCTCACAACAGTCTGAGGAAGGCTCAACTAACAGAGAATGACTGGCTCAGTTTCCTCCAGTGAACTTCCTATTTAAGTGGGGGTTTGAATCCAAGTCTCTCCAGTCCTTGTTCATACTCCTACTTCAGTCTGTCTTGGCATGCTGAGTATTTATTTTGAAAGAGATTAGAAAGACAAGGAGTTTTATCTGTCTGTACTTGAAAAAACATGCATGCAAATGATTGGAGATGAGGCCTAACAGTGGCTTCTGGCTTAGACATTCGACAAATATAACGTTAGTATTACATGACAGCAAGATTTTATTGGTAGGGGAAAAACAGTATAAACAATTGGGAATGGGGGGATTGTTTTTGGTTACAATGTTTGTGCAATAGCTGATAACTTCTTGTGCACAAAAGAGAGTGGGCTAAATAGACCGTGGCCCCAAAACTGGCTAATGTTGGTCATGGCTAAGTACTGTACGATTAAAAGCAACAGAATAAGTTAGTCATGCCAGTATTCCCATGCCAGTATTCCCAGAGGTGTAGACTTTCCAATTTCCCGGGGGGTGGGGTGGGCTGGGGCTGGGCTATAGAGGCATTGCTATGCTAGGTCCTTAAAAGAACTGGGGCCCAGTGACATCACAGGGAGGAGCCAGTGACATCACAGGCCATTGTCACTATCTGTGGAGGAAGAGCCATGTGGGACTTAGGGAGGGGCTCCCTTGGGGAACCCCCCCCCCCAGCAATGCCCCTGGGCTGGGCTAAACCCAGGAAAAGATGGGAGTTGGCCAGTGTTTGTAGTGGTATCTCAGTTATCTCCTGCTGTGTCCTGTTTTGGAAATTCAATTTTAGAATGGCCACTTTAAGATCTGCAAATATGCATACCACGTGCGTAGCACAAACTAATGGTCACAAATTTGACAGTAAGAGAGGCAACACAAAAAAGCCTGTAGGGGAACATTTTAAAAGTTTTCCTGGACATTCATTTACAGGGGTTTTGTTTCTGCCTTATTCATAAGGGTGACTTTGTACTGACATTTACTAAATTGTGGCATCACAGATGCCTTTGTTTGGTAAATGTGTGACTGGAGTCTCTGAGTCAGGGCAGAATACAAAACAGTTGCTGTGCACTCAATTTCTGAGCAATGTACAGAGTTCAGAGTAGTAGCAATCTTCTCAGTACTCTGGGGCTGGAATAACAGTCCCTGGGATTAGCAGAAGTGTTCTGGGACTGGAATGACAACTCCTGGGACTTGCAGCAGCATTCTGGGACTATCATCCTTATACTAATAGCCAAGTTGCCCCCTCCGTGCGGATACTTAAATCAGCACGGAGGGGGCAGCTGGGGGGCCGGGGGAGGTTTGTGCACACG